GAAATAAAATAAGATCCACGCGGTGGTATTATGTATGTACGTGCTACATAACGAGAATACTCGATTTTCAGGGATCAGCATACTGTACCGTAAGCCCATAAAGCAACCCCCGAATCTGTTCTCGTTCCTCAGTCCTCTGAGCCTCGACGTTTGGATTTATATGGCGACAGCTTATCTTGGCGTCTCCGTGCTGCTCTTCATACTCGCCAGGCAAGTGAATCTATTCTGCCAAGTTCCGATAAAAGTATCGTACATCACCGGCGAAATTTTGTATACGAACGATCCGATGGGAACGACTCTCTGCACCACCTAATACGCTTCGCACTGTCGATCACACTTCCGTTGGGTTCGAAACTTGACAAATTTTCCAGTATGAACTCTCTGCCATTACAGGACTTCGGAATCCACCGAGTCGAATCGGTAATGCGGATAAAATAAATTGCAAGAGTGTACTGCAGTGATTTTCAAACTCTCTGAAAGAAATGAGAATAAAATAAAAATGTTTCCTCGTGATATTAAATAGGGTAACATTTTTATTAAATTTATCGTAACTTGAACAAAATTATGTTGTATTTTTTGATTTTATTTTATTGAAGCTCAGAAATGCCTCAGGAAATTCTGTGAATGTATTCGTATAACTTTTTCAGAACATTAATTCAAAAACATTAATGAACTCATTTATTGAATGAGTTGATGTAGAATACAATCCACGTTTCAATAATTGTTAAAATACATTTCTATATTTACAATTTTTGTTTATTCTCATTTCCTGTACTGGTTGTTCCTCTTACTTTGGAAAACACTGATATGGCGAAGGTCTCGTCTGAAGTGTTGCTGATTATTCTCTAAGGAAGTATTAGGAATTAGGAATAGCAAAAATAACATCGCACTGTTTTGTCGAGCCTGATGCATCGTGTCACGAGACACTAATCAGAAAGGAATTCGTAACAAACGACGATAATATGATTAATTGGCTGCAGTTGCTGCAAATTCAGAGACCCGTATTCCCCAAATAGCGGGAGATAGGAGTATCAGTCGCAGTTCAGTTCGTCGATTACTGTAAATTACATCAATATATCATCCATCCCTCGAATGGCTGGTTCGACGGATGTTGGAAAGCGATTTTCAACATTGGACTCCTTTGTAGTACTCAATTAAAGCAGCAAATGAAGCGAAACGATTACTTTCAATTCGTGGTGCTACAAGCATAATTTATATTATTTGAAGATTCATATTTTTTAGTGAGAGCGATTGCACTTCATCGTAGGTGGTCTTTAAATGTTTTTCATGGTGCAGAACAAAAATTATTAATCGCTATTGCTATTTTATTTCCTCGGTATAGCTGTTCATATATCGCAAAAAAAATACAATTGAATAGTTTCCTCTATAGTGATATACTTTTACCAACGAATTAATACACATAATAATTCTTCCAACTCCCAAAAGAATAAATTACTTATAATGCACCCCAAACACGAAGCTACAAAACCATTCATTAAATATTTCCTGAGAAAATAATCTGCAACGCCTCTAACGAACCACTCTGCGTACCTAATACATATGTATAAGCTCACTCGAAATAAGAAGTGTCCTCTCCCCTACAGCGAGGACATTTATCTTCCAAATAGCATAATGCCGTTCGCTTTTTACCAGTCCGCAATTAGTAAGTATCGAATTCCCTTAAATCGGTACCATCGACCGCGCCAACCGCGTCTCTAATTTCATGATCAATCGCGACGTGCGTCCAACCGTGTCGCGGCTAAAAAAGGGAAATGCAATCGACGTGGAACGGTATAAAGAGACAGGACTGCTGGCATGTCCAATCGGCTTCTTTTTCCGTGCGTGAACGCGGTTAAACATCGTACGTAAATGGCGATCGATCCACGGGGAACGACGGACGTCGTCCGCGGCTGAAAAGAATCAGACGTTGTCTAGAGTTGATCAGTTTAGATTCACCCCGTACGAGTGGTTCAATCCTCATCCGTGCAACAAAAACCCGGACCATCTGGAGAATCGCTTCAAACTGCAGAACTGCATGTGGTTCACCATCGGATCCTTAATGCGGCAGGGCTGTGACATTCTGCCCAAGTAAGCCGTTAGATTGGCATCATTGGTCACTTAAGCGTCTTGTTTCGTTTTACACATATATTGTATACGTTCTATTATTTGCCTTCTTTCTTGTGTCCCCTTTCTTCTAGCTCGATTTACGTTCCGTTATCCACGTGCCAAACTTGTGTTCTCCGCCTTTGAACGCCCCGAACCCGGTGTCGTCTACGCACGCATGCAAATCGACGACGTAACCAACGATCCACTCTCGTTCCGATTTACTTGTACCGCGAACGCACAGCCCTAGGACCGTCTACGATCCGGCACGACCGAAGAATGGATGAATTATTCAGCGAAACGAATTCGCGAAACCGCCTGTTAACTTCGCTCGTCGCGATCCCCGGGTGTTGCGCAACTTCGTGTTGTAGTCTCCGTTTGACGAAGGTCGCTCGCCATTAGGGAGCTGAGAATTCGTTCGCGGAATGAAAAAATGTTTCATTAAGGAGAGACAGCCCCGGTATGCAAAGAAAGTTATTCATATCTTCGTTAGCCGTGATGTTTAAGCGTCCAGTTTGGAGAAATCTCGGATTACGGCTTGGGGAAAACCTCGTCGGAAACTTGCGGGAATTTGAGAACGGGCTTTGAGAGTTTGCGGTGAAAAGAAAGAGGATCGGAGTCGATGGATTAAGCGAGGGAACGTAGAATGATCGTGCTAGAGTGAGCCACGCTGTTGGACGTTGAGCATTTATTATTAAGGGAACGTTTCTGACCTCGTTGTAAGAGTTCTCTCTGGAAAATTGTGAACATTTATGGATAGGCAGCTCTTGTATAGATACAAGGTAGGGGAATTGATAAAGTCTTAACACATTGCAATTAATAGAAGCTACGAACGTTAAACAAAATTCAATTATTAATTAAAGCATTTGAATGGACGAGATGGAAGTAATAGACAGCCAGAAATAATAAAAACTTTATCGACGTGAAACTTCTTCATATTAACATTGGTAATAATAATAAATGCTCAATTACCACTGAAGGTCGCATATTTTTCTTTAAATCTATCGTGAATGCCGCGAAGAAATCGTTTCCAATCGTCGAGGACCACTAAGATGATACCCGTGTATTCCCAGTAGGAAAAGAAGAAGCCAGAAGTGGAGGAAAAATATTCCAAAAGACGAGAGAAGAGTCCAGTTTAATTTCTTTGGAAAGTTTCAGTCCAGTTATCCTTCGAATCTCCGTATGAATTACAAGTTGCGATTAAACTTTATCTAACGACCGTATACTTTGCGTCGCAAAAAAAAAATACAGAATACGAGATAATGTCTTCGTAGCTGGAAGAGGGTCGAGGGTTTCCATGGCAGTCTCTCCTTAACGTGTCTAGTATTTACAGAACGTAAGTGAATATCGATTAACGAGCGTCCAACGATTCTCAGAGTCGTAGCTGTACTCCGAGGCTTAGAATAATATGTAAACACCAGATATTTTTATTGAGAGTCTATTGTTTCATCGATAGCTCTTATACTCTTGAATAACATTGTATTAATGTGTGATTATATCGATTCCTTGTACCAGTACCATCGATGATACTGACTAGAGCAAGAGAGTGTTCCAAAACAGGGCTAGTTTGATAATAATTAACGACAAAGGCTGAAATGCATAATACTTAGGGCATTTATGTAGAGTAAAGCAACTGGCTTTGTGACCTGAAAGCTTCTTCTGCATTTGAAATTCAAAGGAAATATTTCATAATTCATGTTTTTAATCCTGGAGGTATTCAGTTACTGAATGTATTTATTTCAGTCGCACAGTAGTAAACGTTTTCGAATAGCTGTGTAGAAAATGATTAGGAAGAAATTGCTCCTTTCGTATAAAGACATGTAAGCCGCCGTGCTTAACGCTAGATTAATTTTCTTCAACTGCGGACCGTAAAATCGGTGTAAAGAAATTGTCGAGGGACAATCAATTTAACTTTCCCCACTTCGAGCAAAGTTCCGTAATAGACACAAGTACGATTCAAAGTTTCAGGCAGACGGCAGCGGTAGTTAATCAAATAGAACACTTTAAAAGGACAGAATGGTTCACTTTGACTCCACTCCACCACTTGAGGGTTAACAATGTCTCCACTCCTTTAATTGCAATGTCGTACTCTGTTTCTTATTAATGTCTGGTAGCTGTTCTCGAGACGAGTTCAACCATCTCGCAAGCCAACGCGATCCAAGGTCGCTGGAGTTTGTTGTATGCTCCTCCGATTTAGCAGTTGAAATTTCATTCACGAAATCGTTTACGATCTTACGTATTTTTTGATCGTTTATTTTCTAAATGCAGAAGAAACACCGCAGGTGACCAAGTTAGCTAGAATAAACACGAATAAGTAAAAATGAATCGAAAATGTAGAGTAGAACTTGTTCGTGTAAGCTTCATATTTATATATTTAAACAAAAATGTAACAATGTTTGTCGAGTAAAACTACATAAATTGGCCCCAAGTTGAACACATCAATTGTTGAATCACCTGGCTATGAGTACTATGGACGTTAAATGGATCTGTGTGTACAATTAGATTACGTGTATAAACATATACTCGGTACTGCACGATATCCATAGAACCGTAACCGGATGAGACTCGCGCGATAGTTAAGGTGTTGATGATTAATTAAGACGAAACAATCGGAATTTGAAATCTCGACCGCGCCAGGATCCAAAATTAACAAATGAAACAGGAGTGCCATCAAAGTTGCGACTCTGAGGTCTAATCCTCCCCCTTCTCCTTTCACGTGTCTGCAGGTTCAGCCCCTACGAGTGGGAGAATCCCCATCCGTGCAACGGACAGTCCGAGGTCCTCGAGAACGAGTTCACCCTGATGAACTCGCTTTGGTTCACCATAGGCTCGCTCATGCAGCAAGGCTCTGATATAGCGCCGAAGTAAGTCACCGAAGAAACACAGCGACATGTCTGTACAGATCCGTGTGTCTTTCGGGCGTTTTCGACAATTGTAAACAAAGCTCGGGTTCGACACGAGCCGAACTTGTTTAACCCATTCGGCCGGTTCTCTTCTCGCAATCATCCCGAACAAAATGTATTTTCAATTGAAACTTTTCGTTTAAAATTAAATGGAGTTGGAGCCACCTAACGTTCCTTATGCATTTTATTTATTGCAATTACATAAAATTGAACTATATTGAAGAATAAGTTACTCGTAATATTAAAACGTGTGTCGGTATTCATTAATTATGATAAATGATTGTTGATCGATCGAAATGGTTCATATTCATTCATTTATCGGTGACATGGCCATGGCTCCAGAATTTTAATTTAGGGAGCATGATCGTGTCTCTGATTAATTTTTATTTTGTCGCATACTTTGGTTTAATTTTATTTCATTTCTATTCACTTTTAATTTATTGTTTTCATTCTAGAGATATACATATACACTCTGATGTTTCATTCAGGTTTGGTTCAAGTTGTCTCGGAATTTTCAGGCCAAACTAAACGAATGAATTTTATGTGGTTGGTTAATTGCATTTTCTCAACTGTTATCGTGTTTTTATTGCACAATTTTAATTACTAGCACGTGTGCTGCTTACCAATTTGTATTTCTCGTTATTGTGCTCTACTAATTACCAGCGAATATTTTCTTTGTTGTGAGGTTGATCTGTAATTATTATAAAAATGAAGATTTTATTCTTAGTCCTCTGTCAAAGTGAACGTACTTGGATTGTCGTCGACATGCCGTCGAGAATATAATCGCCATCGTCATGCAACGTGCATATACACAGTATCTGAAACGACACTTTTATTATAAAAGTGATATAAAAATGTCTGACTTATGTACGCGCAGCTGAGACCATAACTTTTGAATAATAATATAAAATTCTGCAAGTCTGCAGTTTTCACACAGAAATAAACGCACAAAAAAAATTGGTCTAGGACAAACTCGGCCTCTCAACTTCACCGAAGGAAAGGAATTTAAAAAAAAATTGATAACAGTATTCGCCATTCACTTTATAAGTTTTCTATTCCATCGCTCACCTAAACCATCATGGCGTCGATTATACAAAATAGATACGGTAAGATGTAACAAATTTTTGCGTAACCGTATCTGTAAAGTATTACTCCAAAACCATCTCGTTAAAAAGTTATCGGTACCCGTTCCACGAGTCGGATCTGGTAGATTATTGCGGTTCGAGTCACGGAGCATGAGTTCAGCTCGTTATGCCAGCCGAATGGGTTAACCGGTGGTGGACGGTTCACCTGGGTATACAAAGCGTTAGAAGTTTAGCGAGATCTGGGTAATTGGGGTGGGATCGGAGGGAAGACGAGATTCGGGGGTCCGTAGGTGCTACTCTCATGTAACGATAGCCTGGATATGCTATATCGTAGGCTTGCTGCAACCGATCACGTACCGTGTGTGTCGAAACTTGCAGACGTGCTTTTGCTATCGCTAGAGCCGCCGCTCTGTCTCGTCGCTCCAGTCAGCGACGACGTTTTCGTTGGATGGAAGTTGTTGCTGCTCCTCGGGGATGTCGTGAGACGTCGATATCGAGACGACGTGCTGGAAGTTTCGATAACTTTCATCGTCGGTGAAATGTGACGTGACCTCGCTTGAATCTGGAACAGGAATCTGTGAGAAAATATTTGGACGGGTTTATAAGTCTTTGTGGCAACCTTCGCCTCGATGCAAACCTGGTTGCACGGGAACAGGATGTACAGCGACTACTTGGAGAATTTTCATTATTTTAAATGGAGGCAATTCTCGGAGAACTGGATTCAGAGGAATCTTATCCTGTTTCTCATTCATGAAATATTCATTAAATAATCAAAACGAAATTCATATGGCACAAATAACTCAGGGAGCTTGTTAGATAAACTTGGAAAAATATATAAAACCCTTTTAAATCCAATGATATTAATCACTTTTGATAGACGTATTGAAATTCAAACTGAACGAGTTTTAAAAATAAACCTTAACAACAAAAAATTATTATCCATCAACACGTTCGCTCCATTTTGATTATTCGTGAATTGAAGAAACAAAAACCTCGATCAGAAGCAAAAGTTATACAAAAAACTAAACAAACGTTTATTATTATCCGCACGTTCCCAACGCAAAGACTTACGAAACGACCAGATGAAGTGGCGATGAGACAGAAGCGGGAACCGTGGAGCCGTAAACTTTCATCGTGCGATCTTTGAAGGAATTTTAATTAAGACAGCGTTTCTACTCGGTAAACGTAGACGTTCGAAAGAGGCAGCAGCAATTTCTTCGCGTTAAACACCGACCACTTTCGCTACTCGTCGAACGGAAGTTGGAAAAAGACGACCGAAAACTTAGCTTCAGCCTTCCGAAACTTTCCGTGAAGCAGCTCCTATCCCCCGAGTCGTTATCGTCATCCCTCTTTTATTACAAGTGACGTTTAGTTGCTATTGTTACGTGTGGTGTGTTGGACGAATGACTCGCGCGCGTGCGAATGCGTGAGATGCATGGGAAACACGGTGAATCGTAGAAGCTTGGAGTTATTATCATGTAGTCGATTATCAAATTTCCTTTGTTGCTTTTAGATGATATAGACACGCATTAGAGTAGCTTGTTCGTTAAGAGTAGCTTTCTCGGCCGTCCCTAGATTTGTGAAACATATTCGTTCGAAAGGGAGACCATTGTGAAGCGAACACGAAAAGTAATTAACCCTGGAATATTGTATAATACATAATGGGGTAAAAGTGAGAAATCCATCGATTTCTTTGTCTGTTGACTGTAAAGTATTTAAGACAGTAGTAAAATTGACTTATCGACACTTTTGCTTATTTTCTTGGTCTAGGGTGCAGCATCGCCCTTTTATTTAAAAAATTGTCGACTATAGCTTATGAATTTTCATCCGTCCAAGTTGGCTTCCCCCGTTTAATGAAATTATACGTAAGCGTAGTATTGCAGAGTTAAAGAAAAATTTCACTTCGGCTTCAGAATATCTCCGCTTCAGCTTAAAATTCTCCCGAGTCACTTGAAGAAAGTCGATTTAGTCTTTCGAGAAGCGCAATCGTACGCTGGCCCTGCATACGCTTAGAAGAAAACGAATTCTCGATTGTTGAGCGTCGCGGAAAATTCTCTGCACCGTTCGAATTGTTCTCGCAGGGCCGTGTCAACTCGCATCGTAGCTGGGATGTGGTGGTTCTTCACTTTGATCATGATTTCATCGTACACCGCCAACTTGGCCGCGTTCCTCACCGTGGAGAGGATGGATTCGCCGATCGAGGGGGCCGAGGATCTCGCAAAGCAGACGAAAATCAAATACGGGGCTCTCAAAGGAGGCAGCACCGCCTCCTTTTTCAGGGTAAGATCGCATGAATATCTTATGAGTTCTGTACAAACATCCGCGTAATCGCTTTATCCAGTATCATAGGCCATCCTCAAAGTAGCATGAATTACGCATCGATGGAAGGAAAATTGTAGCACGGTACGATGGAGCATCGTACAGTAACCGACAAGGATATTGCGGGCACTAAACGATAACGACGTTCCTTTAATAGCACTATTATAAAAATTACGTTGAACTTCTTTTTATTCGACGCGTTTAAAGTCAAATTCTAAACATGAATTCGTGTTACACGTGTTTATCTGATAAAGAGACCGATAATGTTCCTCGCGTGGCTGAATGAAAAATATGATAGATGGAGGAAACGGGAACGGTTCTATATTATATGTTACACAAGGCAAAAGTAGTCATACGATATTTATGTTTTCCGTTGAATCAAGTTACGTTTACTGTTTTCGAACGGTATACGATCGTAAATTACATACTTGGTAGTAATTTACGCTCGATTCCATGCTCGTGAAGTAACAGTTTATGATCTCCGTGGTATCAAGAATGTATTTTCGAATGATGAATATGCAGATACACGTGCCTTAATAGCACGCCTTGGTATTTCACGTTTTTAATCCAACCACTAAGCTTCTTATTAATAAATAAATTTAAAAATAAATAAATATAAATAAATTTGAAAGGATTAATTGTCGAAAGCCTGTGACTTATTCAAATGTAGGAAAACATATAATATTGTAAATGTAAAGATATATATATGTGACGGAAAAGATGAGTACAATATGTGCATACCTGCATATGCACTCAGAAAAAAAAATTAACCCACGTTCGCGTGACATCTTTCTAAATTGTCCCGTGGCATAAAAAGCATCACAGACATTTAACAAACTCACGTTAAGCGTGGGGAGGCCGTACACGTGCAGAGGTTTAATCTTCGAGGATCAACAGTCAAAGCGCGAGCAAAAAGGTCGCCCAACAGCTTTTCAAACGCTAACAAACTCGATCGATTCGACCGTGTAAGCAGGCAAAAAACTGACACTACGATGCGTTTATCGAACACGGCACAAAAGCCTGACCCGCGATTTCCGTGAAACCGCGAACGAGAGGCATAAGCAGTAATAAGCCTCCTTGAAGGTTAACCAATTTCAGCCGACGTTCCATCGTTTAACGGCACGCGTGCTCAACCATGAAATTCCTCGCGTGATCTAGGATTCCAATTTCTCGACGTACCAGCGCATGTGGTCCTTCATGGATTCGGCAAAGCCGTCGGTATTTACAACGAGCAACGTCGAGGGGGTGGAGCGAGTGATCAAGGGCAAAGGCAGCTACGCGTTCCTAATGGAATCCACTTCTATCGAATACGTAATCGAGAGAAACTGCGACCTCACTCAAGTCGGTGGTCTCCTGGACTCGAAGGGATACGGCATAGCCATGCCCCCGAGTAAGTGCTCCAACATAAATACCGCTGACGAAAGTATTGGCACACTTCGTTTACTTCCCTTGCCATTTACTTTGGAGCTTCACGCGCCAGAGTTAGGCCACGAAGTTACTACTTATGCACTTTACGACGCGCCTGTCTTGTGCTCTTCATGTTTGATTGGAAGTCTGGAGCATGAGTCTCACACGTTGCTGAGGGGGTTGAGTATGTAAGAGGGTTTCGGGATTTTGGTATTTAATGAAAGATTTTCATAATTTCGTTCATAACCAGGAATAGAATTTGAAGTGACGTGAATAGACGTCAACGGTCGCGAATGCGTTAATACATATATTACTTTCATATTCAAAGAAAAATGGGTGTGCTAATACGTTTCATTGCTATTTGTACGCTGTCGCATGAAAGTCTCAGGACATCTTCCGACCCAATTTTAATACTTTAACTGCAACCCCTGAGAATATAAATTGTTAAAATTGTTCAGTGTCTCCCAGTCGTTTCCAGGTTCATATTAAATTTTCTGAGTGTCCTAAGGCTTATGGGCGACAACGTACGTGCCAGTCGGGAGTGTGAACTCGTCACCTAGATGCACTGTTAGCCGATTACACGCGCCCCAATAGCTTCCGAGCGATAGAGACGCGCTATTTCGGCCGATCGTCGAGCATATCCTTGATTTACGGTCCCAGGTCAAACGCCGTCGAATCGGAAAGATAATTCTTCGCGCTCGTTGTACGGATTTATGACCGAATTAGGAGGGCGCCCCGTCGTTTTACGTTCGTTTCTACGGAATTTTAACCAATTTCCAACTCGCACGGGTTTTATGAGATTGATCTCGCTGATAAATATTCCGTTTGACTGGGGGATACGGGTGATTCGCAGCGATTGAAGTTAAGTCAAAGGTATTAAAGGTAAATTCCATTTGACAAAACGTAAACATGGGAATCGTTTGGGGATTGTGTTTGACTATTGGCAGATATGAAAGTTCGCATAAATACAAGTACAGTCCAGGAAGTACTAACTTCATTAGCGTTTTAGTTATAATTCCAGAAATTCCAAACAATTCGATGGTTTATATAGATACAGATTCATATTGCAATCTATGAGTAATAACGAAAATTCATATAATTGCTTATTTGAGGTAAATTAACGTTTGTCGGTATATTAAGCTCTGCTAATCATAGGTTTAGAATTCGATTTCAATCGTAATTTCCGTCCTGTTTAACGAATTAGAAGCTAATCTGCGTAATTGTAGAGTATAAGAGGACTCGAATCCCGAACATCTATTCAGATTAAATTTAAAGAAACCTTAAATCATACGAAGACCCAAATGCAACTTAAACATTTTTAATTTTCATTTTATTTTGACTGATCATCCTTTAACTCTCCCTTTGTAGTGTAAAAATGAAAAGCTGGTAGCAGTTTCAAACAATTAATAAAATTTACTTCCGGACATCACCGTTGTATCCAAACCAGCATCTTAATTACTATTCTCCCATACGACGAACGAACATTAATCCACAATGCGAAAAACAAACGAACGCTGTAACGCGGCCAAACGCTTGTTCGTTTCCGTAGTCGTCGAGACCTCCCTTGGCTCCCTTGACAAACATGTTCGAACTTCCACGACTAGACGTCGTTCCCCGTACGGTTCCCCGATATCCCTGGCTGTTGGCGTCACGTTTGGCCGGAGTCGCGCGGAACTGAAAGCGATCGCGCGAGAACCGAGCGTCGTCGATCGGTCTCGGGAGGGCGGCTTGGAAGCTCGTTCCGGCACGTAGAAACGATAACCCCCGACGACACTTTTCCGAAAGTTTCGTTGCGCGATAAAGGTCGGCTGGAAAAGGGGCCGAGAGTTGCTCAGA